CCTGACATGATTGCGAGAGTTTACAAGTGCAAGTTCCACGCCCTCATTGAGCTACTTCTCACACAACACGTCCTAGGCCGCGTCGTAGGTTATTATCGGTCTTTGAGTGGCAGAAGCGAGGGTTGCCACACACACGTATTCCCTTCTCATCTTAGACAACGACTCGAGACCTCGCACAGCAGCCGACGTCGGTCGCCTCATCAGGGCTACCATTCCGGACCCCGCTACCCAATTCTGCACGGAATTGTTATGACAATGATTATGCACCGCCCTTGCAGAATCCATAAGGAAACACCATGTATGCGTAATGGCAACTGCACTAAAAAGTTTTCAGGACCCAGTTATGAAAAGTGTACGAGGCAGCGAAGCTGCCGAGTGGAAGCCTCACCTGCCGCGTAGCGGCAGTGAGCGGCTGGTTATTATATAGTCGAATATTCGAGTTTTCAGTTTTTGAATATTATTCGATAATCGGTTGTTCAAGAGAAAATCTCTTCCCTACTTGCAGATAACAGGGTCAGCTGTGGTCTTTTTCTTCCTCAGATAATTACTGCAAGCACCCACGGCCCTCATTCAATGGCGGTGCGTGAACACTAAACTTTTGGACTAAACATCCGTGGCTCTAGGTTTATTTGCTTAATCATCCGCGTCCGCTAGCGAAAGGCTGCGGGCACTGACTGTTTTAACGGAACACCGCGACCCAAGAAAATATCTTCGGGGAGCCGCGGGCCTTACTGAGAGCACTGCATAATTGGTCTTCGGGGAAGGCCCGCAACTTTTGTAGATTTTTGCAACGGGCAAGCAACCGCCCTTGTCTGACACCCCCCATTACCTATGCAAGGCCGCGTGCCTAAATGCTCCGTGCACATCGTTTTTGGGTAGGTCTTGGCCCTTCTAGGCAACAGCCAGGATCTCTAGCGAAACCCGGGCCCTGCTGAACGCCGCGCTACTTACATGGTGGAAGCAAAAACGTTGGTCGCGTGAGATACGTCGCGGTTGCTGAGGTACCCTGAACGCTTTTTTCTTCGCTTATCTCGTCTCAATTTATGAATAGCAGTCAAGTCGGTCTTTGATAGTGCTCTCGGATAACTAGAAGTCGGTCTTTGATAGTGCTCTCGGATAACTACTGCTTGTCACTGAGAAAAATAGATTGTCGACTTTGCAAGGCTAGACATTACGACACCAAGTTTTGATATAGATCTTGACCTTTATGTGAGGGTTAGAAAAATAAAAACACAAGTTCAAAGAATTCTATAAAAATATTTTCGTAAGCTAATGGGTATCGGGCCACCCGCGTACGCATATCGCAGATCCATCAGGTAATTGCCGGGACATCCGCGGGTGTCGTTCAGGTACTTATCGGTGCATTTGCGGGTTAATTTCGGGAGCTTGACGTGCGTCTATCTACCACAGACGACATGGATGAAAAGTGGGCCGGTGCCCTTCCGCCGGTGGTCGCAAGGCTTACGGCGTCTGGATAAGCCTACTCAAATAACTGCCGGGGGCAGGCGGCCATGCGATTTATGGGCGGGCGGGCACCGGAAAAATAGTTCGCTGATTTCTTGCGGTCCGCTTGCATATATTTGAAAGAATTCTAGCGAAATTTTAGACGAATAATTGGAGAACAATCGTGGTTTCCTCATAGATAAACTGCGGCCCAGTGGCCGCATTCTCGCGGACTTTCCGCGAGAATATGCAAAATTTTCGAGGACCGCACGGTCCTTTGTGGAGGACCGCGCAGCCCCCAGCCCCCGAGCGCGTGCAGAAAATGCTGTATTGCTGCCCGCTGGCGGAATATGCTACCGTAAAGGAAGTGCCGCCAGCTAAAGGTTTGGCCACGCCCCAAAATTCTGTTGACCGCTTGCAGAAAAGCGCGAGTTTGCGGACCGCCTGCCCCCGGCGATTATTTGAGTACTTGGTAGCAAAAGAAGCGCGATTTGCGAGAAAATTGTCTGTCAAGGAAAGCGCGCATGCCACTACATTTGAGGTCGTAGGGTCCGAAGCGATTCTGCGTTACTTGGCAAAAACTGCTTCGCTCGTCCAGAGTCATAACAGGCTGCGAGCAACGCTGTTCTCACCGTTTCAGTGCTGTCTATCACAAATTTTGGATTCAACATAGCGTACAAACCCAGGAAAGCGATAAAGCCAAAACTAAGCTTTTGTCCGAACACTGTCTTTGACAGCTTGCATCTCCGCGCAATCTCATAGCTCTTGCTCAAACCAACACTAAACTGCTTTCCATAGGTGCGATAGTGAAAATTTGCTCCCCCTTTCACCCCTGAGCCGGGACCAAGGTAGGTAACCCCCTTCACCAGCAGAGAAAGAAATCAACAGTGTGGCATAGTCATTCCGCGACTGCACGCAATCGCCCGAAATGAGCATCCGCGCGCGTGTCTCTTGCAGGCTAACAACTAGCATTCGCGCGCATGAGTCACAACGCCCGTACTCAGCAGACGCATTGCAGGCACGCTCGCGCGCGTTCAGCCTACAACAACTCGGGCAATTTCGTGCAGGCGACTTTAAGGCTAAGCAAAAGAGATATTTGTACGGGAATTGTTTGTGCGTCGGAAAGGAGGAAGATTGAAGGTATTTATGTACTTCCAAGAGAAAAAATAGTAGCTTTTGTAGCTGCATAGCAAGCCAAGGGAAAGAGGAAATAGGAAAGTTCCCACAACGTTCCCATCTGGTTCACGAAATAAGTTGTTTGCCTAGAGTCCGTTCATAGAAGTACCTAAACAAAGGTGTGCCTAATGATTTCTGGACACACGAGTTTTCGACATAAAAAGAAATCATATTTGTAGATAAACAGCTTGTACAAGGAAACAGCAACCATCGAAACCGCCTCGTCCTTCGTTTTCCGATGATATATATTATGTCTGAAATACGTCCAAAAACTCCTGGGTGAATGGTGTACTCAGTGATAACTGGAGATTTTCGAGTTTTTAACATAAAAAATTCATAACTTTTGTAGATAAACAACTTCTACAAGGAAGTAGTCACCTTCAAAACCGACTCGTCCTCCGCCTTCAGAAAATATACACATTGCCTGAGGTTCGTTACAAAAAGTGCTGGGTGAAAGGTGGGTGAGACTTTTGTAATGGGAGTGCTCAAGTAGACGTTTTTTTTATGATGGTAAAAAAGGTGTATTAGGTCGTTTCAAAAGTAATTTCGCTTTTTGCAAACGGGCATCTTGACGGAATAAAGATTTTTAAGAGATCTTGGTAGCATTCGATGCATCATTTCATCCCCTTTCTAATGGTTTTGAAACTGTTGCAAAACAATAGATGGGCTCTCAGAAAATATCCAAAATCTGCGACCTATGCTTTTTGGGATAGTCAAGTTTCACAATTTTTTGAAACTTTCATATCAATCCTCGGAAGGAGATTAAGTAAGGATTCGATAGAGCAAACCTCATAGAATACAGTACAGCTTATTTCCCTTTTTTAAAACATGCGCTAATTTGTTAAAAGATTTTTTAACAAAGCCATCGGAATTTGGCAGGCCTACGTTAGCCACAAACGCATCAAACATCACAATTATTCGGAATTTGAGACTAACAAGATGGTTCTATAAGTTAGCACTAATTTTACAAAGCAAGTGAGAGTTTACGGATTCGAAAATCAAATTTCGAGTTTCACGTGCACAGCCTGGGGCTCGTTGGAAAAATGAGTTATGAGGATTTTGGTTCCGAAGACTGGACAGAGGAAACAAAAAGCATCCGTTAGAAAGGGGAGAAAATGCTGCATCGAATAGTGCGCGAACTGTTCTTCCTTTAATTTGTTCTACGAAGATTTAGCTGTCCAAGTATGGTAATCGGTAGCATCAGTTGAAATTCTGTTAAAAACGAATGACAAGCTGCGGAAAAAAGAAAAAAAATTGATTTGCATCCTGTAAGGTTTGCTTTATAAATGTCTTGCTTTCGCTTCTTCAAACGGTTGATATAAAAGTTTAGAAAAATTGTGAAACTTGACCGTCTCAAAAAGCGTAGGTCGCAGATTTTAATTATTTTCTGAGAGCCCATTGACTGTTTTGCAACATTTTCATGACCATTAGAAAGAGAATGAAATTCTACATCGAATGCTCCAAAGACCTCTCAGAAATCTTTATTCCGTCAAATGTGGTGCCCGTTTGAAAAAAGCGAAATTACTTTTGAAACGACCTAATATTTTCTGGAAGCGGAGGACGAGGCATTTCCAATAGTGACCATCTCCATGTATTATCTGTTTATCTTCAGAAGTTACGGATTTCTTTATCCTAAAAACTCGTAAATATTCTGAAATCACTATCCACACCCTTCACCAGGAATTTTTTTCAACAGACTCCAAGCAAACTATACATGCTCTAAAAGCTGAGGACAGATGGTTTTGGAAACAATTCTCTTGCTGACGTTGCTGTTTATGTACGGAAATTACTTTTTTTAAATTTGCAAATGCTTGAAAAATGTCTAACTTTTCCGAAACAAATGTTCTCGCATGCACATTTTCTATTAATCTCAAAAACAGGCAAGGTGATGTAAAAATGCAAAAAAGGGAAAAGGAAAAATGTAAAAAAAATACGAGGTGCTAGAAACAGAAACATAATTGTGTGGTAATCCAGCAGCACATTGGTTTACATTTAAGAAGAAAGACAGCCAGTGATGGCAAGAAATTGAAAATTATAAACTTTAACCAGAAAAAAATGATGAGAGATCACCATGGCTCCCTCCCCCCCCTCTCCCGGTCGACATTTTATAATTTCCAAGTGAACACCCTTCACCCTGGAGGGGCTGCGACCACTGTGACCCTCTTCACCCTGGAGGAGTCATTCTCACCCCACTCCTATGATGGCTTTCTTCTCTCCGAAGAGGTCAAATCATATGAAAGAACATAATGCTTCTCAATGACTTACCGTTCGTACTACTCATCAATAAAAATAATTAACAATCTGCGACGTATCATGTATCAGTATGGTATTATTCATTATTATCGTATCGACGTATGATGTATCAGTATAGTATAACTCACCTCCATGAGGAAGTGCAAGCACATTTAATCATCTCTTTGCTTGTTGAAATGCGCCGGCACTCTTTAACACTTAGCTTGCTAAAAAAATTAACTCATATCAAACAATTGGAATCTTCTAAAAAATATTCTGCCTACCTCGTATCAAAGTGTGCAGATATGCAGGTTGGGTGAACACCATTTTCCTTCAAGTGAAAGAAAGTCAAGATAGTTGGCTGGTCATCCAAAGGTCTAAAATGGCACAAACAAGACAACCCATTCGCATGTTGACCAGTTTTACTTCATAATCTTGGTGCCATCACCGACGTATACGCTAACGGTGTGACTGTTTACCATGACGAAGTCATAATACAACAGCTGACCGAGGTTCGCGAAAACGAAATAGGCTACATGTTGACGGGTATGCGAAGATGCTGCGCCGAGCTGCTGAAAAAAATGCTTTCTTGCCGTCAATAATTACGGCTTCCGCTGTGCTACAAATTTTAAGGTCTGCCAGTGATTGGGTTCACTTTTACTTACTTGGCAACAGTTGATGAACCAATTTGCTGCGTGAGTAAGTGGTCAAGATGCAACCAGGTTCAAGCAAGAGCCGCATTATCGTTTGCCTACCGGCGTGACATAAAAGCTCTACGAATATTAGTAACACATTTGCGATTATCAGAGCCAAGTTTCAGCGAATTTTGAGGGTTCCGGATACTGAACTACCTAAATGGAGTAAGTCATTCTCGAACATGATTTACCATTGTACCTAATACAAAACACTGGCCACTATTTGCCCATAACATGCGTTCTGCTTCAAACAACCATCAGACTATGGAATTAGGAGCCAGCAAAAATCTTATTTATTTTATTTTCATCATTCGATGGTTGTGCTTTCCGCTATCGCAAATGAAAGAACAAAATTAGGCTCTAACCACTTCTACAAAAACTACGAGATTTTGTTATCGAATCATTTAGAATTTACTAGTACAATTTTCTTTGGAGGTAAGTTAATGAGGTGTGGCACAACTTCAGAAAAGCTGTGGTTACCACACATTTTCAGGTTGCATTACACTCCGTTGATTCACCTTCATAGCCCTTCACATATTTGTGTTTTTCATATCGCTGCTGCTGCCAAACATCCTTCTATACAAAACGGGAATTTCGTTCAAAATTATTACTCTTAACAAAATATACAGCCTTTTTTACTTATGCAAGTGGAAAATACTGCGTAAGTATTAGGTTATGGTGACATGTCATCGCGAGGAAGGCGGCGTAGATAAGTACACTCGATCACCTTGTAACTTTCATAAAAGTGATTTGAGCCGCTTGGTCTTTTCTAGTTTGAGATATTGAAGGCACAAAATGGAACAAACAAGATTTTGGCTTGCTCTCAATTCCATAATTTAGTGTTATTTGTAATGGGGTACCTAAAGTGAGACAAGGGCTGGTAGTAATCTACCCTACCTGGCGGCATCATAGAGATGCCGGCAACTTGGCACACATCGCGGGAAGTTGCCAACTCTGACGACAGCTCCTGGATTGACCGTAATAGGTTCTGATAGCTTCACGTAGTCTCAATTCGCATGCACTATGCACATGAAATTTCGATAACGCAAGCAACCAGAAAACAGCTACATCAAGCGCGTTCGAACTGCATGATTCGACTTTGAGCGCCGCAGCACTAACCATTCAATCACGCGGTCAGTTTTTGCTGTGTGCGACAGCAATGACAAAAACGCACAGAAAAGTCGCGCCTGTGAGAGGGCAGGATTAACACATTGCGTGATAAACGGTGACCT